TAGGTAATTTGTTTTTATATTTTATGTTAGAGTTTTATAGAAATTAGATCTATTAGGTAATTTGTGATTTGAATTTTATTAGGTAATTTGAAAATGGTGAGTGATTTTATTTGGTAATTTTTTGAGTTTTATAGAAACTATTTTTATAAACTTTTTTTAATAAAAAGTCTTTTTATATCAATTAATAAATATTTTAATTAACAAATATTTTATAGTTTTATAGAAACTCTTTTTATGATAATTAATAAATATTTTTTTATATTTTGTGTTAAGTTTTATAGAAACTCTTTTAATAATAGTATAGATTTTTTTATACTAATTAATAAATATTTTATAGTTTTATAGAAGCTCTTTTTATAAAAACTATTTCTGTAATTTGAATTTTATTAGATAATTTGTAATTTGAATTTGAATAGGTAATTTGAAAGTGGTGATATTTTATATATTTGTGTTAGAGTTTTATAGAAACTCTTTTTATAATAGTATAGATTTATTAGGTAATTTGTAGTTTAAAAGTGGTGATTGATTTTATTAGGTAAATGTTAGAGTTTTATAGAAACTCTTTTTATATTAATTATAAATATTTTTTTTTATATTTTGTGTCACGGTTTTAGAAACTCTTTTAATATTAGTAAAGATATTGATTTATTAGGTAATTTGAATTTTATTAGGTAATTTGAAAGTGGTGATTTATTTTATTTGGTAATTTTTAGAGTTTTATAAAAACTATATTTATATTTATTAATAAATAATTCTTTTTATATAAACTATTTTTATATTAATTAATAAATATGATAAAACTCTTAAAAACTATTTTAATATTAATTAATAAATATTTTTTGATATTTTGCTGTTACATTTTTATAGAAACTCTCTTAATAATAGTATAGATTTTTATTACGTAATTTTTAGAGTTTTATATCAATTAATAAATAATTTTTTATATTAATAAATAAATACTTGAAAAACTCTTTGCACATTTAATAATAGTATAGATAGATATAGATATATATTTGGGTTAGAGTTTTATAGAAACTCTTTTAATAATAATATAGTTTTTTATACTAATTATTAAATATTTTATAGTTTTATAGTAATTTAAATTTTATTAGGTAATTTGAAAGTGAAAAGGCAAGTCAATTGAATGTTTTGTAGCATAGACACTAAAGTATTAATTGCTTGATAGAAATATAATTACACACCACACAGTTTTTCTTTGTTTAAGCAAAAGGAATAATACACAATTTTCTTTGTTTAAGCACAAAGAATAGTGTGAGCCCGTGAGTGATGTAAATTTTCTATAAGCAAAGTTCAGTTTAATTAGAAAAATTGCAAAGAAGCTAAAATCTACATATACAACATATCTACAACAAAGTGGCATTGACAGGGGAACGAGAGGGATCATTTATGGGATATAACTTACAAGAAATCAAAACCTTCCAAATTCTCCTTCTATGTATGAACTCCGCCCACCAAAGTGGAGCACGGCGAAAAGAGACATGAGTCAAATTCTTGGGTCAAATTCCGAGAAAAGCTATACAAGTTCAGAGTATAAAGATTATAAAATTTAGGTTGGTGAATTGTAATTAATATGTATCCTAACCCCATTCAATGACACATTTCAAAATCCAATAATACAAATCACAAACACATTTCAAAATCCAATAATACAAATCACAACAACTGCCTATCCAAAAACTCATGCCAAAATGACTTTCATTAAGAATCTGATGAGAGTTCTTCTAAAAATTCCATCTTCAAGGCTTTTTGAACCAACAAAGATGATTTGATTTTCTGAATCTATGAATTTCTACACTTCTAAGTCTCTATTTATAGGCTTGATGATATGTGTAATAGTATAGATTTATTAGGGGCCCGTTTACTAACGCTTTTACTTTCTTACTTTCACTTTTTCGAAAAGTAAAATCATGATTTTGATTTCTTTGAGATGAAACAAAAAGTAAAATTATGTTTAGTAAACTGCGAGTTACTTTTGAAAATTGAAAGTAAAACACAAAAAGTGTGTTTAGTAAACTGCTGTCTACTTTTGAAATTTGAAAGCAAAACAAAGAAAGTGTGTTTAGTAAAAAATAATAAATTTCTGTTTTTGCTTTTAGTAATTTACATTGTTTTATATCTTTTTATATCTATTGCATTTTGGCATTTATAAAAGTCTATTTACAAATAAAGCTACAGTATTATTTTAGCCTTCACATTATTGCTGATTAAATTTAATCTTAGAAGAAACAAATTCAACCTTCATAATCAACTTAAAAACTGAGGCTAATGATTTTTTCTATTTTTTTGGGTTACACCCAAAACTTACATATTAGTAATGCATGGCTATAATTGCTAAGCCTATGTTAAACCCTTTCCACAATTATTAAAGTAAATGTCATTAGTCTGCTTTTTATTTTATTTTTCACAAAAAGATAAATCATTTATGGCTCATTACCAAATAAAAAATGAAAAATTATTAGAAAATAATTCCGCTGCCGGGGTTTGAACCCCGGGATTTCAAAAATTAGCTGAAATTTCCAATGTGATACAGTAGATCTCATGCTAATTATTCTGCATTTTATGGAATTTCTATTACAAGAATGAAATTCTCTTTCGATCCTTTCAGTCCCTACCCATGGGGCCATGAATTCTATTAAGATATGCTTAATTAGAGTGTTGGAGAAAAATTCTGCTTTCCTTTATTGAGATTTGGGGGTTAATTGGAACTTTGTAATTTTACATGACACTACAAAGTCTCTACAAAAATCAAAGTGATTATAATTTTTAAAAATAAGCTGAATGAAAGTTAAGGGATACTATAGTTGATCTACTAGTTAAACCGAAATCAACAGATTCGGATCATAGGATTTTATCTAGTAATGAATCAAAAGTGCAATATCATACAACATCATTAAATTAAAGATGCAACTAGAAAAAGATGTCACATTGTTGCAACTCAATGTAATATAAAAAGATGTCAGATTATATTAGTATAGTAACAAGTGAAACACAACTCTAATATTTCGGCCCAGCATACACATAATATCAAAAGCATGCAGATTATAACATGAATTCAAATGGCATTTAGATACAAAATTAATCCAAATAAAAATGACAATATTACAATATCCAAATAGAAAATTAATCATAATAAAAAGTAACAATATTACAATATCCAAATAGAAAAATAAAAAAATAATCCTAATAAAAGTGATAATATTATAATGAGCAAATAGAAGAGATTCATCTATCACGATAGTTGTTCCACAACTCATTTGCAACTGCATCACGGGTTTCACTCATCTCTTGAATTAGCTCCCGTGTAACATTTACTCTTTGAGAAGTACCACCTAGCTAGCTCCACTTCTTCTTCTTCTTCTTGAAGATTGACATTCTCATCCCCATATTCATCAAAAAGACGATCTAAACGGGCTTCGTCACGAATAAAATTATGTAATGTGCAACAAGCAATAACGATGAGTGCTTGTACACTCAGTTTGTAAGGAGGCATCAACTTAAGGATCCGCGAACGCATTTTTAATATACCAAAACAACGTTCTATCACATTTCTCAGTGACGAATGCCTATAGTTGAATAGTTCATGAGGACCCCTTATTCGTCTCCCCCTATATTCCTGTAAATGATATCTTTTGCCAGGATAAGGGATTAAGAAATACCTCATATTGGTGTACCCAGAATCCACAAAATAATACTTACTTGCACAAACAAAAAACAATTATTTTTTTTTCTAATTTAATATGATATCTTAAACATATGATATCTTAATTTAATACCTTCGGGTGGCAACGGAAAATTCATTGTAGTATCAAAAATAGTTTCCAATAATACTCTTGAGTCATTCGCGGAGCCTTCCCAACCTGCCACCACATATGTAAACTTCATGTCTGATTTCCTTCCACGATAAGGAATTTGTGAAGATGCTGAAACATTTGCATGGATGTGTGTACCATCAATTGCACCAATGCAATTCTACAACACATTATTTTGTTAGTAAATATAAATTCACAATACCAATTAATTAAGTAAAATTTTTTTTTAAAAAAAAACTACCTGAAAGAATGGAAAGTATTTCTCATTATGTTGAATCTCCAATGGTACCTTGTTCATATTTGATGGACATATTATACTCTTCCCTAATTTGAAAATATACTTTAAAACTCGGTGGAAATATTTATGCACAGTCCCCGTAGGATGTTGATATCTTTCTGCCACCACTCGAACACTCTTATTGTGTGCTAGAGTATACAAAAACATTGCAACTTGTTCTTGTACGGTTAAATATCTAGAATATTCCAAGCCCAATCCCTTTAACCGTTCACATAAATTTCTAAATACATGTTTATCTATCCTAAAGAGTCGATAACACCTAATGGGGTGGCCATTTACTAGTTCAAGTATATAATTATGGCCTTGAAGCATAGAAGTCATACATGGTCTTGGTGGAAGCATATAATGTTCCATGTACTCTATGAACATGTAAATAAACAACAAACAGACCCCCATTTCCTCCTCTTCATTTTCTTCATCATCATCAATTAAAGTAGGCAAACAAAATGGATCCATAATGGTAAACCTGATGCAATGAAACATGAGATGCATAAAATGATAATGCATTCAATAAAAGTTAGGGGAAAACACTAAATTCATCTTCAAATAACATATATAATATCTCAGATTAACACAATAAAAAGGACACAAATTAAAGCAAAGAAATAATAAACATTAGCAAAACAAATCCAGGGACTTAACATCAGACATAAGTTTACTAGTTCTAAATCACAGACATAAGTTTACTAGCTTAAACAAATCCCAAATAGAAATTACAAACACCAAAAGAAAAAACATTGTCTCAAACAAACACAACAATTGCAACCCATCAACACATAATGTTGCAGCCTATCGCAGCCTTTCAAGCCAGTCCCACTTCTTCTCATCACTAAGTTAACAAATACTCTACTCCAGAGCGGATCTGCACGAAATTATTTTAGGGTCTTGAAAAATGTGTCTCCATCAATTGGTCCCATGTCTTCTAAGATTTGCAAGCATTCAGTAACTTTAGCGGAGTCTTGATCAACTTGAGACATACCACTTGAGCCTCCACCCTTGTCTAGTGCCTCTGCCTTTTTCTTAAAATATTCACCAAATCCACTCATAGCAGAGGAAATTATCTTTTGAAAGCTCTCTTTAGTTGATCTTGTATGAGTGAGGTTAGGAGACTGACTCCTATGATGAGAAGTATCCACCACTTCATTGATCTCATTAGGATTTTCATCTCCCTCATCACCACTAATACATGGGCTTCTATTTGAAGGATGAGCACGATTACCAGTTACATATGTATAACCAAATAACTTATTAAGCAGATCATAATGTTTGTACCCTTTTTTCCGAAACCGCTTGGCATGCCTGACTTGCTGCAATTATATATTATTGTTAATTTATATGAAACAATAGATAATATTACAAATAATGTATTCCAACTAACCTTTTCCGTCTCCTCCCATTGGGCATCTGTAAGTGTGACCTGACCAGTTACAGGGTCCCATGATGAACCAGTGTTGGATAGAAATTTTTTGTATGCTTTATATTTGTCTCTCAACCCATTGAATTTATTCCTCAATTGTAAGTTCGTATACTTTTCTTTAGTCAACCTTAACATCCCTTCTTCTAAATTTTTCCATCCTTCAGTAGAAAATGTGGTGCCTTTTCGATTTCCATTCTTTCTTTCTTCTTCCATCAAAGTTATTAAGATCTCTTCATTTTTTTCACTCCATAGAAATTGAGAACTTTAATCCTCGACCACATTATCCCCATCCAATAATTGAGCACTTTGATCCATCACTACAACAATTAATACTATATGAATAATTATTGTATACCAAAGTGGCTAACACAACTTAATTGAGTACTTTGATACATCACTACAACAATTAACACACTTCTACAACTTAGCATTGAACATATAATACTATGAATGAACTCCTATATAATATTTGAAATTTTTTAAATTGTAACTATTATCTACTCTACTTCTACATTAAGTGTTCAAGTACCATGTTCACAGAGTAAGGGTTTGAGTATCTAAGAGGAAACTGAAAATTAAAGCTATTCAAAGAATTATTAACTTAACAGATTTAATAGAAAGCTCATTCTAAGCATATGGTACACTAATTAGACTTTCCAAGTGAGAATCTCATAAGTATCCCAGGAGTCCCAAGTCAACATCAAACAGTTTTCATCAGAAAGAAATCCAGTTTATAGTTACATAGTTCTTATGGTAACTATAGATTACCAGCAGTTTAAAGAGAGAGAACATTTGCAGACTTAGATAGGCATATTTCTACTTCTTTTATTATTATTATTATTTATTTTCTGAAATGCATATTTTCAGTTTATATGATAAAGTATGTTGTACCAAATAGTAGTAAAAAAACATATTTCAGCATTCAAAGCATTTAACAGGGTCTATTATAACAATGATTATGTATTCAGATGGCATTCAAAAGGAAGTTTTGGAGAAAAATTGACCCATCATATTTGTCATCGTGTGTGGAAGAAGTATTGCTTTTATTTTCCTCTGCTAGTAGTTTTGGATTAGGGTAAAAAAAAAAAAAAAAATTCTATGGTCTCTAGTAGTTAATTACTTCAATATTTGGCCATTTTCAGAATACTTTTTTCCAAGATGTGTCTACAAAGTAACCTCTATATATTAATATGAGAAACTTAGAAACCACATTTGAAGGCCTCTGGAAATTTAGCATGGCATTTAATGCAATAATGATGCTAAGATACATATATAAGGACAAAACTTTCGTGAGACTTGGGCAATGAAAAATTGCTTCAGCATATTTGGCTATATGTGGCACATGTCATCTGCAATATGAATAGTGTTGTGACAATCTCAAATTGGTTCATTTTCTTGGTAGATCTGGATAGGTATCTTATTAGGTACCATCAGCAAGAATCTAGTTCCAGGAACACACACAAACACACACACGCGCACACCAGGAAAAAACATAAGAAATTCCAGCCATTTGGCCAAGTTGAAACAGAAGTAAGTAGCTTAGAAGTTGGGACTCATAGGTTTCGACATATATCTAATGCGCATAAATGACAATCAATTCAACAATCAATCTTAAACTCATAAAAAGAAATTACCAATTTATTTCTGAACAATTCACCACTCAGTACCCTATCTCTTCTTGACCAATTTACACCCTATTTGATAATCTACAAGTGGAAGCAGAGTGTGAGGTAGTTCATGGCAAGCCCCTTCCAACACTGTGGAATTCACTCAAAAGCATGATGGATAGATTAATGACAGATTTAAGTGTAATTCATTATAACTATAAATTTGTTAGGCAATAAATTCTAAAAAATTTGATAGATGTTAGAGGAACTTTCAAAAGTGAAGCCTTTATATATAAAATTTCATATGCACAACAAAATGACAACCAATAAAACAATCAATCTATAAAAATCGACAACCACCAAATCCAGCCAATGAAAAATATTTTAAACACTTCTTCTATTTTCGAAAATATTTCAAACAGATTATGTAAATATATACACATTCAGCAAACGAAAACAAAGGAATTAGGGCTGAAGAGGTCTTTGATTTGAGGGCACTGAGACAAATTGTTATATATACACATATAGATATACACATACAGATATACACATACACATTCAGGAAGAAAATTGCAGATTCTAGGGCAAAATCTTCATACACGAGGAGAGAGAGCATCTGATAAGAAACAGAATCTGAGAAGAGGGAGAATCTGAGAAGAGAGGGTGAATTCACATGCGAAGTGTTGGTCGGCCGTTGAGTCTCCGTTGCCGATCGACGCTCGCAGATAAGGGATGACGATCGGTAGAACTTTCTTGAAGCAGATGAGGCGAGAGGCTAGGGCTTTCTTGAAGCAGACATGAGGCAGAGGCTTGCAAACGATGATATAAACGAGACAGAGTTTAGGTTTTTAAAGCTACAGTATTTAGCGCTCCAGTGTTTAGCGCTACAGTGCGGAATTTGAATTTTATTAAGTATAAAACTCTTTGAATATATCTTTGTCTATTTTGTCTAATGTGATAGAGTTTTATTGAAAATAAAATAAGTAATTTGTGGTAGAGTTATTCTTATCTAATTAGATTTTATTTTATTAGATTTTATTTTATTTTATAGAAATTCTTTTAATAATGGTATAGATTTATTAGGTAATTTGAATTTTATTAAGTATAAAACTCTTTAAATATATTTTTGTCTATTTTGTTTAATGTGATAGAGTTTTATTGAAAATAAAATAGATAATTTGTGGTAGAGTTATTCTTGTCTAATTAAATTTTATTTTATTTTATATAAACTCTTTTAATAATAGTATAGATTTATTAGGTAATTTGAATTTAATTAAGTAATTTTTAGAATTTTATATCAATTAATAAATATTTTTTAAAATTAATAAATAAATACTGAAACACTGCAACACTTTGCATATTTAATAATAGTATAGATATATATATTATTAACTATTATTTAATAAATACATATTAAATATTAAAAGTTTATTAGGGCCTCAAATGACATTGAGCGGACCTCAATGAATCAAGGTCAAGTCAACTCAGCCAACGGCCCAAGCCAAATAAGCCCAGGGCTGGCCCTGACAAAGGGCAAATAATTTCAGCCTCCTCAATCGCCTCCATCTCTATTCTCGTTCTCGACTCTCTCTCTCTCTCTCACTGCAACTGCAAACTACAAAATCTACAAAATCAGAAGTTCAAAACCCATATATTTCAGTCTATCTGTCTGCAAGAATCAAAACCTATTACTTATATCAAAACCCATATCGGCATATCATTTCAGATTGTTCAAAAAAATAAAACCCATATCGGCATATCTTTCCGTTTCCATTGCCCGCTGTTCCAGTTCGGGTTCGCCGTTCGCAAGCCTCAGCCGCTGTCTCTCAACTCTCAAGCTTGCCCTCATCTCTCTCTGCAACTGCTAACTTGTATGTATGGGTTTTATTTTAAATTTTTTTTTTTTTTCTAAATCAACTAATCAAGGTCTGTAATTCTTGTTTTGCAAACTAAATCCTATTTGGTGATTTTTTTTTTGATCATTTTTATATAAATTTTTTTTTTTTTACATTATAAAGTAACAAAATTTGCATTGCATTGCATTTTGAGGTAATCACCGTGATCTACATTTTTATTTCAGCAAAACAAATATATATATTTTTTATTTTTATAACTTCTATTTCTGTTTTTTTTTGGTTGTCAATTATGTGTACAAGAAAATTTGAATCTGGGCAAAAAAAAAAAAAAAAAAGAATCTGAATTGGATTAGAAAGCTGCAGAGATTGAATCTGAAACAATTTTTATCAACATGCCAAGCTTTTTGAAGATGGAAATCTTTTCAGAACTAAAAAAAAAAAAAAAATTCATAACAAGAACTTTGACAAGCAAAAGTACTTAATATAGGGTAAAGCTCTAAAGTTACTTCTTGAAAATTAAAATACTTAAAAAAAGCATGCTTTTGAGTGAATTCTATAGTGTTGGAAGGGGCTTGCCATGAACTACCTCACACTCTTCCACTAGTAGATTCTCAAATAGGATTAGTAAATTGGTCAAAAGAAGAGAGACGGTACTGAGTGGTGAATTGTTCAGAAATAAATTGGTAATTTTTTTTTTATTAATTACCCAAATAGGATTTTCTAGGCCTTAATCAGTCAATTGTCTAAAGAAACATTGTTAGTTAACTAAAATTGAATTAAACAACAGTTGATTTTGGTTGATATATTTTGATTTAGCCCACCCCATTGAGAAATCCTGGATCCGCCCTTGGTTCATGCCCCACAATCTCACTTTCATCTCATCACATGTACTTGTGTATATCTTTTTTTTTTTTCTATAGATATAATGAATCTGATGGACTGATGTAAAGAGTTTCAGTATTTCATCACATGTACTTGTGCAAATATAAAGAGAGGATGTTCTTGCAAAACTAGAAATATAAAGCTCCCCCAGATGCACACTGCTCCTGTGAGAGACAGTGTAGGAGATGCAGTGGTACGTCGTTGCTTCTCTCCTCACCGTCCTCACCAGCTCTCAGGTATTTCTGTAACCCAAATAAAAACCCTAATTCTTTAGTATCGTTAATCTTGTTCTGTTCTTAATTGTTTTAGGTTTATCGGATCTGTATGACTATTCATATCTCTCTCCATACATATGTATAATCGCTGAAGTTGATCAGTCTTTCGTCTACTTTAATCGATTCACTTCGTAGATGTTTAGTTACTTTATTAGTGAACTATATATCGTTATAACCTACTAATAATTTTTAAGTTAATTTTTTGAGATTTAAAATCTCTGTTCAAGACAAACTGGTTAGCATTTTGAAAATAATATTTTGCTGTTTTGAGCAGAACTCGAAGCAATTTTTTTGCTTTGAGAAATCCCAAAAAGTACTTCCACTTTGTTAATCAAATAATGCTCAACCATTTGACGAATTTATGTGGCATTTGTCTCAAAATCAATGCTAATCTGCATAGCCATGGCAATATAGATTTCATAGCATCATCCTCGTCATCACTGTCGTTTTCGGGGATCTCCAAGACCCCTCTCATGAATGTAAAAGAACACGGATGTAAAGTTACACTCTACTCATCATATTGATCAAGAAATTTCGAAAGTGTAATTGTCTTTAGTCAAATGACTACTAATTACGAATGGATGATAAAAAAACTCAGTTATTTTGGTGTCATTTTCGGCTCAAGAGAGGTGGGTCCATGTCTAGTTGTTTGATATTTAGGTTCCCATCTTTCATTGTACTGCAGGGAATTTTGACAACACTGTCACAGAGTAATGGGGGATATAAATATGACTATGCGACCGTTCCTTTTCTTGCTGAAGTGTTTAAGGTACTTCACAGTTTGTTACAAATATGATTAGGTTCATATCTTCATGTTTACGAGGTACTTAACTATTTGTTGAATCTGGTGTATATAGCAGCAAACTGATTGCTGTGATCAATTTTCAAAATTTGATTGAAATAACTAGCTTTGTACAGAAATGTTTTAGGTTTAGAGAAAGATTGTTTTTCATCTTGGTAAAGTTGTATATTCATGTGTGAATTATATGATGATGGTTTCATTACCTTGTTGAGACTTTTCTTTTAATTGTTGTTCTTTTCTAAGAAACATCATATCTGTTAAATTGCAGCTTCTTGTATCTAGTGTTCTTCTTTGGAGAGAAATGAAGAGATCACCTCCTCCAAGGATGACTACGGAATGGAAGACTGTTCGTTTATACCCAATTCCATCTATCATATACCTTGTCCACAATAATGTTCAATTTGCTACCTTGACATATGTGGACACATCCACATATCAGATAATGGGCAATTTGAAGATTGTGACGACTGGAATTCTATTCAGGTGTTGCTCTTAGTCCCCTTTTTTTTTTTTTTTTTTTTTGTTAATTGTGAATCACATCAAACCTAATATTTCTATATTGAAGATTTAAATTTCGTTTCTGTTCAATCATCAAATTTAGGCCTTCAGATATTGATTGCTTTTTACAAATTAGCGTTTTATTTCTATTTTATGTTTTATTAGGCTCTTCTTGAGGAGGAAACTCTCTAATTTGCAGTGGATGGCAATTATTCTATTGGCTGTTGGAACAACCACAAGCCAGGTGCTAATGGGATCTATAACTTACATTTTTCATGTCGTTTTGTATATTTATAACTTGTCGTGCATCAAATATCTTCTCTTTGTGACTTAAGCTATTAGAGAAAATATGTGTTCTTAAGGTGTCAAGAACAGCTAGAATACTTAAAATGGGAACGTTTTAACAACAGAGCAAATATATCTCCATGGTCGGTGGGCCAGGAGGATGTTCTACTAGAACATCCATTTGAGTGCTTGTCAAGAAATGAGGTTATGTCCCAGCAAAGCTTTCAGCGTATCATAGTTTTAAAACTGGTCAAGTGACTGTAGCTATAATCTCACTCATGTTTGTTTTGCACGTTGAGAGGCAATTTCTGGCAGAACACTGGCAGCAGTCAGGGAATCTTGGTCAACTCTGTGTTACCTGTAGAATAGAATAATGCACACCTAAGTATTAGTTTGACACAGAGTTAAAGTATGCATGATTAGGATGAGATCTAGCTTCACAGAGGTGTTACATCAACATATTGTCACAAAAGAATGCTTTCCAATCTACACTTGTATTGTAGTTTGAAGGGACCATCTTGAAAGCCATTAATAATACTCTCTCCTATGCCACAACAAATTTCTTGCACTTATTTGTCATGACTGCAAGCGTCTTTAAACGTCTGATCCAGTGAAAATATCTCTCATATGCAGAAATTTCCACTGTAATTCTCATGTATTTTCTCTCTTCTGAGATATAGGTCAAAGGCTGTGGAGAGGCTTCATGTGAGTCCCTTTTCTCATCGTCAATTCAGGGGTACATGTTGGGAATACTGTCTGCTTGTCTTTCAGCGCTAGCGGGTGTTTATACAGAATTTTTGATGAAGAAGAATAATGACAGCTTATACTGGCAGAACGTTCAATTATACGCGTAGGTTTCCTTTCTTTGGTCAAACACAGATCTCCACGACTTATTCTCAATCACAATGACACGACACTCCTGTATGTGCTTGCATGAAGTTATGAATCTCATTCTCTTGTAATCCTTATATGCAGTGAATTCTTAGAAGCAGTTATTGTACTAGTTTTCCTTGAAGGTATTTTGAGGGTTGACTGTTGGAAAAATCAAATCAAATGAAAATATATAAATATGATCTAGACCAAATAATTTATGTATTATTATGGGCATCTCAAATCATTAAAATTTTGAGAGCTAGGGAAACATTATTCTTCTTTTGTGATTTGCCAAATTTTTAGGTCCCATTATTAGTTTAATAGATGCTTAAGAAATCAATATCACATCTAATTTCTGGAATGATATTATATAATATATATGATTACATAAAGATGAATAGCATCTGCTGACTTCTCACTTATACATCAATGAATATTTTGTAAGGTTCAGCTAGGGGTATGCAAACTCCAAGCCCTACCTAGGGGGAAATTAAGGTTTCACAGCAATTTCTTGTCCTAAAGTTTTATGATGGCTTCATATTTAACATTAAAAATATATTGTTTAATGGACATGCTTATCGAAATAAAAGTTAATTTGTGTCCGTGACACCAGGGCATGCTACAGAATCAGTATGCTTTCCAATGTTGTGATACTTCTGTTTTTGAATTTGATTTAATACGGCCATATTGTGTTCCATTGCTGAAAGCCTGTAAGGGGTATTGGTTAGCTGATTCAGAAAAATACATTCTTATATCTAGGTTTGGTGCAATATTTAACATGGCACGACTTCTTGCGGATGATTTTAAAGGTGGATTTGAGAATGGACCATGGTGGCAACGAATTTTTAATGGATACAGTATCACAACCTGGCTGGTGGTGTTTAATCTGGGGTCCACTGGACTTCTGGTTTCATGGTTAATGAAGTATGCAGACAATATTGTAAAGGTATCTCCTTGTACTCTCTATTGTTAATTTTGTTTTCTTGGACCTTGTTGACTTGATAATGTCTGTTTGCTAAATCACTTACGTGAGTAGTAACGGACTCAGATGGTGACACTAAATTACGGAAGAAAATTTGTAGATTCTTATTTGTTCTTCCATTGTTGCAGTCATGATACTATTTTGTTGTTACATACATGCTAGATTTTTAGTTAAGTGACATAAGCATCACTCTTGCATCACTTTTTATTGTGGTTGAGATTTGTATATAATTTCAACATGCTTTGCTACCTTCCTTCAGCCACTAAACCTAAGAAAAAGAAGAAGATGATTTTTATTAAAATGGAAGGTTTGAATGTAATTAAATATCAAAATTTGCAAATTTGGAAACACCTAGGCATTGGGCCAAATTTTTTTGTTTTCTTTTTCTGGTAAACGGCAGTGGGCCAAAATTTTGATCTTCAAAATTTATGAAATTCAAAATTGTAATCAGCATATTGAATTGTTAACTAGCATCTACTCCAAAAGCTTAAGTAATTTGAGAGGGTGTAACTTAAATATATAAATCCTTTAACACGCTCCCTCACATGTAGCCTTCTTTTGGTCCAACATGTGTTTTTCAATTATTTTTTTTAATTAAGGTGGCGGTGAGGTTTGAACTTTGGCTTTGATACTATGTTAACTACCATCTACTCCAAAAGCTTAAGCTATTAGAGAGGGCGTAACTTAAGTATATAAATCCTTTAACATGAGTATTAGACAGTCAGACAATTGTCAAAAAAAATAAATAAATAATAGGCAGTTTAAACTGAACGAATATAAAGTTGTCATGTGGTTTTGTTTAGTAAATGAGTGCATATTTAGGAACAATGTTGTACTAAATGACTGCATATTTAGGAACAATTTTGTACTAAATGAGTGCTGGCCTTTATCGTAAGTTTAGTAACAGTTCAACATTGAATCTTGCCATAATGGGGGAGCAGGTTGAACAAATGCCGATTTTTTTTGTCACTAGAATATCACGTTATTCTATTTAAAATGAAATTTTGAGAAAAAAAGGAATGATTTTACAATTCTGTTCATGAAATTTCGACTAAAAGTTTGGTGCTAGCTATGAACTTAATATATCCTTCCTTTCTTTGGGCTTAAATCCAGCTGAAGTGGCAAAACAGGTTCCGGTGGGCAACACCAATAGGTTACGGTTACGCTTAGTGTAGTTTAGATCAATTGAGTTTTAATAAATTTCTTTGATAATATAGTTTGAAGAGTAAATTATTGGATGAGAGTAATAATGGTGGTTAGAAAGGAAGGGAACCAAATAATTATAATATTTGGCATACGTTCTACCAGTCTTGAACCTTGGCCTTTTGGTTTAGGGTTCAGGCCATTAAGCCAACAGGCCACAAGGTGGACTGGTAAATAAGTTTAATATTTAGTTGAAACCAGATTTAGAGATACCAATATGAACATTAATACTATGAATATGAATCAGATTTAGAGATACAATTTTCTTAGATAAACATTGCCACTTATGAGTTATGCCTTGATCATAAGGATGCAAGTCATTAGCTTCACAGAATAACAAGTATGTGAAGTTGTTTAGGTATATATCAGAGTAACAAAGTTATGTAAAAACAATGGAATCTGATAACTGAATCTTTATGGATGATCTTTTGATACAATATAACAAGAAATACTTGTCCACACTTACAATGAACAAAAATGGAAATGGAAAACAAAAATTGCAAGGGAAAAGGTCCGTGTATTATATTTGTTGATCAGCTGGTCAGCTACGTAGTTGAGATCAAATTTAATGATTAACAGCATCACATCACACCTGACAACACTATCAACCGAGCACTGCATCTCTAAAGAACCAAATCCAGTATTGCTCCATACTGTCGCTAGTTTCCCAATCATTCCACAATGAACAAAAATGGAAAAGGAAGACAAAAATTGCAAGGGAAAGGTTCGGTGTATTATATTTGTTGATCAGCTGGTCAGCAGCTACCTAGCTGAGATCAAATTTAATGATTAACATCACATCACACCTGACAACACTATCAACCGAGCACTGTATTGCAACCAGTTGGATTTTATGATTACTGTTACCCCTGCAGTCATGTATAAGACTGCTATCGGAGGCAATCGGTTGCAGTTCTCATCTGATCATTGTTGAAGCGTCCTGGTTATTGCCTTGTAGTTTAGTTGATCAATATTTGAAGTTCAAGTTCATCAGGTTTGAATGAGCTAAATCGTCCAGTGTCTACTTAGCAGTCAGCGGACAATAACCTGACGTCCTGGCATGTTAATCTGATAATGCTCATTAATATGATGTTCCTCTTTGCTTTTTTATTTGATTTGTATAATTCAGGTCTCTTTGGCTGCTTCTGTAGGTATATTCAACGTCAATGGCCATGTTAATGACAATGAGTTTATCTGTGTTCCTCTTCAATTTCAGGCCAACATTGCAGGTAAGCTTCCAAAAGTTTGTTCTTTGCCTTTTTGGTTTCCCCCCCCCCCCCCCCCCCCCCCCCAAAAAAAAAAAAGATCAAACTGTGGTTTTCTTATCACTCTCTCAGAGGAGTATCTGGACACTTGTCAAACTGGATGGAAAATAGGACAATCCTATTTTAAACATTTATTTATTTATTTTATTATGTAGGATTTGAGATATTATTTCACATTATTTTTTTTCTAGTAATACCACATTATTGTCCTTTCATTTGTCATGGTGGTTGTCATTGTAGCTGCATGTGTAGGATGATCACATGCATTTTAAGACCGGAGCGAACAATTTCTTTTTCCAAATTATGTCTAATGCTACGATAGGTCAATATTGTATTATTTATATCCTTAATCAATATCTTTTGAATAACTAGGTCTTTAAGACACTCAATTTATGTATCTAATTCTCTGCAACCAGATTCAGCATTCGGCTTCCTGTTCAGTTTGGTGATTACCAATTATTGATCTTCTATATGTCTTTCTTTTCTCTGTGTATGTGCAGCTCTTCTTGGGTATCATCGTCTGCATGATGTCACTACACATGTATTTTGCCCCACCAGACATGCTGCTAGATTTGCCTTTGACTGTAAAAGCATCCCCTGAGAATGACATTGAAGTTTCTGTTGATCGAAAATCAGATTCCTGATAAATCATCTTTCATCAAAGCATACAATTCTTTGGTATGTTATCATTCAAAAGGAAAAAATTAATGAGAGGCTGTTCTTTTACTATGTGAAATTTGTTTGATCTAATTTTTCCATGGGTTTAACCATTAACGAACAAAATCGGGGAAGAAAGGGATCCTATCAAGAGTAAGCATAGAAATATATATATTAAGAAGAAGAAGAATATTAAAGAACTTGTTGATTATAGTGGTAAATTTTTAGCTTGACCTTGCTTGCCAAAAATTAATTCAAGTCATTATTGTGGTATTAGTTGTTTATAATAGTGGTGGATGTGCCCAATGTGTGCACAGTGCTGTCATGATTGTAACTATGAAGAGGGGATCGTAGTATGAAAAGGTACATGGTTTACAAGGTAGCAACAGCACTGATGAATCATAGTGCTGGTAAGTGTGAATTTGCTATGGAAGCTGTGGGTTAGTAGTTAGTAGTGATGTGGTGATAATATTGTTAGGGTGGTGGCAGTGTTTGTTATGGTTTGGTGACGATGGTGGTACTAAAACTTGCAATAAAAAGCATAATGAAGTATCATAGATTACTTATAATGTTGGGTAACACTCTTATCTGGCTTCTGAGCTCCCTTCGTATAGAAAGCATATAAAGGTAGGTTAAATGTAGCAGAAAGACCTCAATCCAGCTTCTTAAAGGACATAATATAGAATACAGCTACTGAACTTTTAAAACCTTCTTTGATTATAAGTAAACTGTAGTCATCATGTGATCCATTTTAACCGTTCAGGTCTGTACATTTTAATTCTTTAATAAGTGCATCCATTTAGTAAACTTTACTTGTTTTATGGAGGCTTCGTCTTGTTTAGAGAGCCCATTGCAGTAGTGTCAAAGAGAACTAATTTTGCAGTGGTGTAGAGTCTAGTCTTTTATTATCAGTAGTACAAAGAAGCAACCCTGCTTCTGCCTATTGAAGTTACTAGTATGGAAGTGTATTATACCATTTGAGGAATTGATGAGTCTCCATATACTTGTATCAAGTTTCGATAATTACTTGATTTTGTTGCACTTTGGGAGAAAAGTTGTCCATTCCAAAAAAATTCCCTGTCCAGTCTCCATAGGTTCCTAAAAGCAACCGTCTGCAAAAAGTTTTAGGTTGATTTTTTAAAGGCATGTTCCCCAAACTACAGAGATGTGGTTGTTATAGCATAAGTCACCTTTTGATTCTTGAATCATGTCTGGAGTTCTTATTTATTTGACGGCCGGGAGCTTATTCTATAAATTATGTTGATGGAGAAAAATATTATAGACCAGGCATTAATACATTGTATAGTCATCTAGCCCCGAAAAAAAAAGAATGGTTGTTATGTAAAGCATAGGATCTTTAGCAAACATGAAACTAGAAAGTGTGAAACCTTATTCTGTCATTTGTATGATTTAACATATTACTAGGAATTTATGATAAGCGATGGAGATCATTACTACTACATTTCAAACCGTTCAATAACACTATCACGTATTAATATTTGAATATTTTATTTCCTATTTGAATAAAAAGTATTGATAGAAATGGAAAAAGAACAAATAATAGAAGTTCCAATATTGTACAATTTATTTTATCCATAAGATAAGTCTTTGTGCCCTTACTGTTACCCTGTCATAATGAGAGTCCTGTTTGATTGTAAACATTGGTCACTAAATTTCTTGTTGGTCTTGCGGTATCCATTCCCTTGTTAGTCTACTAGATGTGGTGGTTTATAATCTCTTTAGGTCTTCCATTACCAATTATTTTGATGTCAGTTATGTTTATAATGAAATTGTGTAGCTCATATTAAATGCTCCAATTGGTTGAAATAGTTACCAGAACGATTGGAGGAAAATTGTATTTAATTATTGCATTATTACTAGCATTCTTTATACATGATGTTGATTAGGTCTGGGAAGGTTAGCAGCAATCCTTGTCCCCCTCAAAGAATTCACTGCTGTTTGATTTTGTTAGACTACCTAAAACAATACGACTCAAGAGGTAAATTGTTCTTCTGAGGTGAGACACACACACACACACACACACACACACACGCCTTTTTTTAAAATTAAAAAAAAAAAGAAAAAATCCCAAATAGCTATAGATTAAAGTTTTTTAAAAAATGAGCAATGCAAATACATAGCTTTGTAGAGAGGCAAAACAAGTGGTCCTATGGTGAAATTATAAGCCGTTTGGTTAGGTTTTGGTCATTGGTGAAATTACCTCTTCAATTCTTATTTATTTATTTATTATTTGTTCTCTCTATACAGATTGTGTTAGGTTTATCTGGGTTGAGGGCAGGTAGGGTATTAAGCTATGGATCCCCTAAGATTAGGGGTTCCTGAAAAGTTAAAATATAGTATTAGAGAATAGAAGAAAGCATAGAGAGAGAGAGAGAAAAATTGAGTGGAGGTGGTATGGAGTCCTTTGCAAGACCGTCTGAAAATGTAGGTGGTAGAGCCAACAGGCGGCACAAGAGGGAGCGATGCGGTGGCTGCTTTCAGATGCCGCTGCACTACCTGGACACAATGGCGGAGTGGAAGCTGGACTGCTTGCTTGCCCAGGCCCGGGCCCGGGCCCGTTGCCAGAGATGTCAACCAGAAGAGAAAGTTCGCCATGGGAGCTTTCCTGTGGGCTCATTAAAACTGTTTGGTAGTATGATCCGTGAAGTTTATGGTATTGGTAGTGATGTTTTTTTTTAGCTATATTTGGTTTTGTCATTTTACCTTTTAAATTTAATTTTGTGTCATCTTATTATTTTGTGGACGTTATGAAACAGAAGTTTGAATTCCAGGAGTGGTAAAGACGTGAAAAATCCCAGTCATGTCTTAGGCCGTAACATATATATATATATAGTGTGTAACTTGTTTGCTGTGAAATTATGTAAAATTATCATAAACACTAATTATGTATTGATTTATGGGAATTTTTTTTTTTCTTCTTATCTTTCTCTCCCTCTTTCTTTAGAAGATTTGTGTTAATCGTTACTTGGTTCAAGCGTAGCCAGATTAAAAATCATAAGTCCAAAGGTTGGTCAACATGTTCCAACTTCATGATTCTTGGCTTTTGAACCTTCTTTAAATTTCCTCCTACTTCTAATTTCAAAACACGACTTAAAAAAAAAGAAAAAAAAGAAAACGAAAAACAACATCATGACTAAAGTTAAGCCCATCAAGAGATTTTAATATATTTTTTAAATAAGTAAAATATATTAAGAAAAACCATCTATCTCAAAAAAAATCTTGAATGAATGATATGTATAAAAACAGAATTATTAGTGTCTTATCCTTGAAGATCAATCACCCTTGTGTTGATTCTTGGGGCCAAACACTTTAATTACCTTGAATTTACTGTGAGCCAGGGGAATAAATTAAAATAAATAATTCATCTTCTCATCCCTAATTCATTTAATCCCGCATATGAACACCCATTATATACATTAATAATCAACTAGTATGATTTACTAGACACCTCAATCCATCTTATGAATTAATCAATACATATTAGTCAATATAAAATATTCACAATCCAATCGGCATACAAAAATCCCAACAAATTAACACCATCCCTTGTAATTAGCTAAGTAATTAATAACATTTATTTCTATACAACTTGGCTTGAGTCTTGGTCATCGCTGTGCTTCACATCTTTGTTGTGCAAGAAATAGAGAGTAGTAATCCCGCAAATCACAGCAATCAACGACAGCCACAAAAAAAACATAAAAGCTGTGAAAAAACATTCGCCAACGAGAAAAGATGTTGTGTGATGGTTTGGATGTTTTATTTCTTTAATATTTTTTAAAATTAATCCCACCAAAGGAATCGCGAGAACCACTATTCCTAGTATCAAGGCGACCGCAACCCAGGCAAATGCTGCAATAATGATTATGGTTTCGATACAGATGCAGAAATCACTATCCACCCGACTCCTTTTCGTCCATGTATATATATATATATATATAGATGCAAAATTACTCCTGATCCTTCCTTCCTTCGATTAATGGCTTCTTCGCTTTCCTTTTTAGGGTTAATAATTGCTTAGGTTATGCAGGTTTAGCGATGCAAAGGATTAATAATTGCTTAGGTTATGCAGGTTTAGCGATGCAAAATTACTCCTGATCCTTCCTCCCTTCGATTAATGGCTTCTTCCTGATCCTTCCTTCCTTCGTTTAATGGCTTCTTCGCTTTCTTTTTAGGTTAATACCTGCTTAGGTTATGCAGGTTTCGTGTAGGGCTGCTTTTATATATATATATATATATCGTTTTAGGTGGTGGGTGGACACGAAATCTCTCTCTCCGAATCAAGCCCTAGTCCAATTCAAATTATCAAGGATCTGGATCAGACATATGTATTAAAGATTTTTTGGCTTTTTTTAATACCCATATCCTGTAGTTATTATGTGTGTGATATATATATAATTGGTGTTTGTACAAATATGTTTCTGTTTTGCTTGTACTGGGGCTTTCTTGATTTAATGGTGAATTCCCAACCTGCTTGAAATTGTTGATTTTTTATTTATTTATTTATTTTTTTTTTATGGGTTGCCACTAAAATTTTCACTCTGAAATCTTGAATGGTTACTTGATTTCCACTAAAATTTTCACTCTGAAATCTTAAATGGTTACTTGATTTCCAATATCTGATTGGGAGAAAAAATATATATATATTTTCTCATGTTTTTCTCATTTGAGGTAAGAATTCAAGAGTGATGGGGAACGAGGTAATGGAGAAGAGGAATGACCGGCAACAGTCTAGTATCAATCTTTTGCATTCATAGGAGAGCTCTGTGAATTTTGGGGTTTCTTTGGTCTGACGAGGGTAGAAAGAGAACGAGTAGAGGAGAGAGAATGGGGGCGAAAACATAATTTGGTTCAAAAAGTAGAAAGGGTATTTTAGATAACAAATTAAAATAAATAGTAAAAGTTTATCTACATATCAGCATTTGGGTCAACTTCATTTTTGTGAAATTATCCGACTTTAACTACGTAATAGTGTAAAAATGAACCCATAAGTACATTTCATGTAAAAATCCTTTACATATATGTATTAAAGATATACTATAATCTCCCATATTAAAGATATATCAAAAGTCCTATTATATATATAAAACCAAAATATAAATCTATATATACTATATATATATAATAATAATAATAATAATAATTATTATTATTATTATTAAAAGTGTAAAAGACTTTCAGTATTTTAGTGTTTGTAAAGAGTTTTAGTATTTAATTATTAATATAAAAAAAAATTATTAATTGATATAAAAAGAGTTTTTAAAAGAGTTTCTATAAAAGTTTAACACAAATTACCTATTTATCTATTTATTACGAAGTATGAGTTTTTTAATAAAAGAAAATATAAGTTTTTTAATTAAAAAAAAATCTAATTAGACAAGAATATATTTAAAGAAAATAAAATAATTTCTATAAAACTTTATTATTTTTATAACGCATGTCTTTCAAAAGTGGAACAGGTGATATAACCATGATGGTTCAAAATTTGTTGTATTGAAAAAAGGCGGCAATAGTTGTTGTTGATCTAGTAAGTTTAACTTGGATTGTTAATTTTTTCTTTACTTTATCTTTTTAGAAGTATTTTTAATTTTTTTTTTCTTTTGTTTTATTATTATTTTTCTCTTTCTAATTGATGCATGTTTAGAAATGGTTGATTTGGTAACTTTACTTTGGATTGTTATTTTTTTCCTTCATTTTTTATTTTTTATTTTTGGTTCATTCTTAATTTATTATTATTTTGGGTCATTATTGTTATTTTTTTTTTTCTTTACTATCATTCTTCTTTTTTCTTTAGTTTTTAATTTTATTTTACTCTTTTTAAGTTTACTTTGGATTCTAATTTTTTTCTCTGGTTTTTATTTTTTATTTTTGGTTCATTCTTAATTTATTATTTTGAGTCGGAATTTCAGTGTTTTTTGAGTTTGGGTTGGACTTGATTTTAAATTGAATTTGTTGCTGAAAATTTTTTATATGTTAATTTGTTTTTCAATTTTTATTATTATTATTTTTTCGTTCAATCTTAATTTATTGTTTTGAGTCTTTTTGGTATTCAAAAATTTTAAAATTTTTGGTGCATTCTTAAGTATAAAAATATTTATTAATTAACAAAAAAAAGAGTTTTTATAAGTTGTTCTATAAGGGAAAATTACACATAAGTAGAGTTAGAAATCTTAAACAACAAATTAGTCAATTTTAAAACTTTATTTTTCACTTTGGTTGAATTAAACAAAATAATTACATATGCATAGAGAATCATTGTTAATGTCTAAAATACTCTCAAAATTATTATTTTAAAATATCAAATTATTCTTTGTAAATCATATAATTTTTTCATCCAAAAAATTCAAAAAAACTATAAATGAACATTACGAAAGGCTTTAACGGACTGCTTTTAGTTGTGATATATATATTTACATCTACAAAAACAAAAACAAAAACAAAAAAAAAAAAATTATAAAATGGTGTTAAGGCCTGCCTTAATTTTTTTAATTTTTAATTTTTATAGGTTTTAACTTTTCAAAAATAATAATAATAATGAGCATAAAAAAGAAATATAATATAAAAATATTGTATACAGTGAGGCACAAAGTTAAAGAAATTTCAATTTTCACAATTAAAAAAAAGTTTATTAAGACTTTTTTAATAAAAAGAAACCTAATTAGACAAGGGAATATAAACAGAAAAAAATAATTTAGTTTCTCTAATTAGACAAGAAAATATATAAAAAGTTTAATAATTGAATTCCTTTTAAAAAGTTTAATTAATAATAAATGTTTTTATTTCTTTAAAATTCTAACATAAATTACCTATTTATTATGAGTTTTTAATTTTTAATTAATATAAGGTTTTTATAAGAATTTCTATAAAACTCAAATCACCTATTTATTATAAGTTTTTGGGTTAATTTCATTGACACCCCTAGGTTTGGCCAAATATCACCTTCAAATATTTTTCGAAAATTACTATCACTCGTGTTACAAACGTTTGTTCTGTTTTTCACTCACACCCCAACTGTTATCTTTAAACATCTTACACCATATAAAATAACTTAAATGCCCTTTGACTTTGTCAAAAAAAACTTTAACCTAAATAAATATACTAAAAGACTAAATTATCCTTAAATGTTTTACAAATTTACAATTATATATATGTGAGTATTATATAGTGTGTGTCTATATATATATATATTTGACGTACTATATACATATATATATTTGAGGTAATATTTTCCATATATATCAGACTCAAAGTTTTTTAAAAATCGACATCTAATAAAGGCAGAAAAGGGTTACACCATTTTCCATATATATCAGGCTAAAAGTTTTTCAAAAAATCGACATCTAATAAAGGCAGAAAAGGGATTCAGTCATTTTTCTCCTATATGAGACCATAAACCCGAAATGTAATGACCCGGTCACTTTTCTTCCTTTCTTTTCCTCCATTTTTTTTTTTGCGTTTGAGTTTCTTTGCAAAGTTTGGGTTTTAGCCCTTCGTTTCATTTTGAGTGCTCGGGAATGATCTCGACACTCTTCCTTGTGGATGTCTTATGTTGTTTCGTGAGGGCCGTGTCATCTCCTCACCTTTTTCCACACTTTGTTTATTTTATTTTATTTATTTAATTATTTCTTTTCTGGCTAGCGTTTTCTTTCGCTTAACCTCACTTTTTGTGTTCGGTTTTGCTTTCACTTTTGCATGCACTCATGATATATGATTTCTTAGAAACGTGTATTTTTACTTTCCTAGAAAAGCATGCCATTAGTGCAATTTCTTCCTTCCTTAGGGGTGTGGATGCACACTTTCTTTGAAAACTTTCTTGTTTTGGGGTTACTTATGTAATTACTTAAAGTAATTATTTTTTTTCTTTCTTAAAGACCATTTTACAATTGAGTTTGCAAGATATTTAGAGGAGGGACATACTTGCAAATATTTTTGGGCCACTTTGGGATTTTTACATTAAAGAGGGGTTTTTATATAATTGACCATTCTAGTGTGTGTTGACTTTGGTGTAAAACCACATAGTGAGTGGATAATTTCTATTTCCTCCACTCACATTTTATCACATCTTATTTCATTTGTCTTCCTCACCAAAACCTTAGCCACCATTGATGGAAGCTTGATCACCTAGGCTTACTTCTTGATTTTTGGAAGCCTTCACTCATTCTAGCCTTAACCTTGGGAATACTTTTTATTTTCTTCATCCTCCTCTACATAACCCTTGAAGGGTGAATCATTTGGAGCTTCCTAACCTTAGATTCTAGAGATACTTTTCTCTAGTAAGGTAGGGGATGTATTATGTTTGTTATCTAAGTGGCTTAATTACTTTTTTAGTGAAGTATAAGTTATATATATATTTATTTATTAATTTGAGAAATTAATAATATATTCTAGCTTGCATGTAACTTACTTTTGACATGAAATATGTGATGATCTTGGTCTAATCCTTACTATATAATATTTTGAGAATTTTTGAGCAACTTTTGAAAAGTAGTAATTTAATTATTTTATATTAATTAAATTTTACATGTTTATATCTTACTTACTTTGTGAAATTGATGTGATATTTGCAATCACCATGAAATGGACATTCACATATTTATTTTGAGAATTTTTGGGTAACTATTGAAAATTAGTAATTTAATTATTTTTATGTTAATTAAATTCAACATGTTTATATCTTGCTCACTTTGTGAAATTGATGTGATATTTGCAATCACCATAGAATGGACATTCACATATATTATTTTGAGAATTTTTGGGAAACTATTGAAAATTAGTAATTTAATTATTTTTATGTTAATTAAATTCCACATGTTTATATCTTGCTCACTTTGTCAAATTGATGTGATATTTGCAATCACTATGGAATGGACATTCACATATATTATTTTGATAATTTTTGGGAAACTATTGAAAATTAGTAATTTAATTATTTTATATTAATTAAATTCCACATGTTTATATCTTGCTCTCTTTGTTAAATTGATGTGATATTTGCAATCACCATGGAATGGACATTCACATAATTTATTTTGAGAATTTTTGGACAACTATGATTTCTAGAGAAACTAATTAATTAGGTTAATTAATTTTTATTTAGTGTTCTAATGAATTGGACTTGTATTTCATGGGACTTTTGCCTTTTTATCATGCATCATGACTTGTTGTATCTTGGTTTCACTAATTAAATCTTGTATCTTATACTAATGGTATATCTACATCATTGGATTCTATATGCTTTGTATCCTAGTTTGTAGTCTATGTAGATGCATATCATGATTTTTTGACATTTCACATGCGATTATAGTTGAGGACTTAGGGCATGACTTGTGTGTTTCTATAATTTTGGTTGTGCATGGAATGTGACTTCTTGTATTATATCTATGTTGACAATATCTTGACTTGCACAACTTGTTGATTTTGGAAACTCGGCGATATCAATATTCAAGAATTGACATGGCTAGGATTTGGTTCTAGTACGGGAGATAGAGAGCTCCCTACATTATAGTGCGCATTAGGGGAAGATACCCATGGGTTAGTAGCCCTAAAGTGATCCCGAGAGTACGGTTTTAATCCGAGCGATATTCGAGTATCCACATTGTTTGATTTCACTTCTTAGATTTCAAGTGTTATTTCTTGAAGATTTAAGAACCTTTTCATGTTTTATGGAATATTCCAACCTTGTTTCATTGCATAGATTTTATGCTTTATCTTTGATTTCACTCTTAAATTTCAAGTGTTGTATTTCTTGAAGATTTAAAATATTGTCGTGTTATATGGAGTATTCCAACCTTATTTAATTGCATAGACTTTATGCTTCATCTTGGATTTCACTATT